GAATGCAAAGTAGAATGCTGCATCGTAGTCAGCTGAAAAATGGAATGAATATCCATAAATTCTTTTTCTACCGTTAATTTCTGTGGAAATTTGTCTCGCATAAAAATCATGTTTAGCTTTGTTCTATTTGCAGCGAAGTTGAAGTCAGTCAATGAAGTGAAGTACAAGAGTGAGGAAGTACAATTTTAAGCTTAATTAAATATGCATGTATGTACATACCGATTTTAAAGAAAATCTAAATTCCTAAATACATACATATGTAGGCTGATTTAGAAAAAAATTTAATTAATTTTAACCTTTTAAGACATTTTCTGATTTCAATTTAATATAAATAAGTATGTACTTATCTAGGCATTCTACATTAGTTTCTCTGTAAGGCATTCTTTGTTCGCTTCTCTGGATTCTGTTTATCCATGCGTTCTCCCTTCGTTTGAAGGAAATGCTGCGCGTAAGGGCTTACCTCCAATGACATGCCCATGTTAAAATAAGGCCTTCTTGAAGCGAAAGGGTAAGCGATTCCCATCGGCTAGCTCGTTTCCACTTTCTTTTCTGTGGTAATTGTGTTTTTTGCTGGGTACTTATATGCACATACAAATACATAAATTTTATCGCTATATGGTGAAGTGAAAATTGACCATTTAAATTAGGCAACTTTTGCAAATTCCTCTTACGTTCTTGGGGAACACTTAATGTAAGTAAATATTTAAAGCGAAGATGGCCTTGGGGAGCGTATAGAACAATAAGCTTTTCTCTGCATATCTTTATATTTTCGTGCATTTTTTAAACTGGGAACCGCTTTTTGGTATTCACATACAGTCAGTCGTACCTTTTTTAGTTTAAAACTAAATTCCGTACAAACACACCATTTTAGATACATTTGGAACGTTGTCAAATAACTTTTCTGGGAATCAGATACTATTTTTATTGTCATTGTATCGTATTTTTGAGTGTGGGTAACTTGTCCAATAGCCTCGCTTCTTTGCTAAGGGACATACAAATCATGTAATGGCCAAAGTAAAATAGCTATAGTTGATTACGTCAGTTATACTCCGAGCAAAGGGATTCACCTTTTCGAAAACATAGTTTTGTCTCGAACTGCTCGAAGAAAATTTATTTAATTTGAGTCCAGAAATTTATATGGTATCGAAGGGAAGGGTTGTCCTCTTATTTTCTTTAATATATACATATAATATACAAATGAGCATTTCCACAGAATGGTCACCGGAACCGAGAACTAAAATGAGCATTCCGTTGCATGGGAGCTATAAGTTTGAAGTGGTCCGATTTGGACAGTTCGGACAAATGATTAAAACATTATAAAATTATACCCGCTATATCTCGAAAACTGTCCCGGGTCTTTTTCTTCTGGTACTTGAAAGCATCGGACTAAATTTATAAGTATGAATAAAAAAAATTATGCAAAAATCGTGCGTTCGCGACCGTTACTTAAGCTTATAAATAAAAAACTATTAGGGATATTTCAATGTGCAACTAGTTAGGAGGAAGTTACTTTATTCCACTTTAATATGCACCAAAGATATACCTAGCAAAATGTTATCGAAACAAAAAAAATGTATAAAAATTTACGTTTTTCTTGCTTTTTGAACTTCAAAAGCATATGAACGAACGGTTCGCGATCGTTGGAAATGCCTGTACTTATTTTTAGATACATCAATCTACTTTTAGGTAAAGTTTTTCCGCAAATTAGGTACAATTAGAAAATTAATTTTTTCATCCCTGATGGAATAGCAGCTGTAAACGAGGCCAGAAACAAACAGCTGATTACTATTTGTTCAATAAGCATACCTCAAATTCAAAACTAAACTTACCAAGCAGGTTTGCAAGAAAAATACCATACAATTAGCACTCAAATAAGCACTAATCGGGCAATTAATAATTGAAATTGTATATGATAAATCGAGCTCAATTAGCGCCTTAATCGAGAAAGATTGGCTAATTGGTCGATTAGCGGCCTGTATGAACACACTTTAAGGGTCAAATATACTCTTCACCAGCTCGATTTTAATAAAATTTTTTTTTTTTCAAAGAAAAACATTCATTTTTCATTAGTTTTTCTAGTTTAGAAGATTTTCGACCACGCACCCTTAAGTGAGGCTATATTCAAATGTCATGTAACCACACACGAAACAAACTACGTTCCGTTATTCGTAGTTAACTTCTCAATGCATTTAATTAGTTTTATAAATTTTTCAAAATAGTGACACAATATTTGGCATCGTATGCGGAGAGAAAACTGCGGGTTGAACTGCAAAACATAGCACTCTTGAAAAGTGGTCGTCGCGTAAAGAGCGCGGGGCTTGCTGAAATCCTTGTAATGCAAGATGGCTAACAGGGCAATTTTGGCAACTGTATTTCTACTCACCACTGTTTTTCGAAAGAAAAAATAAATAAATAAAAATTACAAAAAAAAAACATTTAATTGGAAAGAAGGAAGGAAACTATATTAAAGAATTTAAAATAGAATAAAAAAATTTAAATATTAAAAGAAATTAAAATATTAATAATTTTCTTATTAAAACAATAAAATCTTAAAAATACAAGAAAATGTTTTTTCTGGTTTCTTTTCGAGCCTAAGGTTAAGTTTTTATTTTTGTTTTACAAGTGTCCGATATTTCGGCTGTCAACGAAAGCCATTTTCAGGGACTATTAAAAGAAAAACTTAAAAGCAAAACTAACATAAAGCACAAAGGACCAAAGAAAATATAAATTATTTTTGCGTAGATGATTTCATCCTATGCTGTCAAGTGGCTGGACTTCGACTTTGACCTCAGGCTCGAAAAGAAACCAGAAAAAACATCTATAACTAAAGGTCGATTAAATAAATTCTTGCAAATACAAGAAAATTAAATTTTAAAAAATATAAAAAATTATTCTTAAATCAGTAAAATCTGAAAATTAAAAGAAAATTACACCAAGAAAATAAAAATTGTATCTAATAGAAAGCAAGAAAAAATTTTTCTTTTTAATACAAAATCTTAAAGTCAAACGAAATTCAATTAAACGAAAAATATTCGTATATATTAAAATTCAATAAAAGAAGTATGTTCCTAGAAGTTTAATGAAATTAAAAAAGTATTTTTATTTTTAAAACAATAAAATCTAAAAATAAAGAATTTTAAGCAAAAAGATAAAAAATGTGAATTGAAATATAAGAAGAAAATTAAATACATTTCTAACAATTGAATGAAAAAAAATGACTTTTTAAAATACTAAAATCTAAAAACTAAAACAAAATTATATTAAAACAAAAAAAAATAAAAAATACACTCCTAAAAATTTAATTAAAGTAAAAAGAAGAATAAGTTCCTATAGATCAAATGAATTAAAAAAAAGTGCGAATGGTGAATAAGAGGGCTTTTTTTCGAAGTCCTTTGTGCTAGAGTACCAAAAGTCTTTCGAACTATCTTGCCATTAGAAAGAAAACCCCTGAAAGTCATTCTCTCGATACTGATGAGAGTTTTGACCAGTCTTAAAGTTCTTTTCAACGCAGAGGCAGCTTGACGTATGTAGTTATATAGCTCGAGTAAATTTGCATAACAAAAATTATGCACATCATTCATCACTTCTCCGAAATATTTATTAATAGAAACTAAACTTAAAAGCCCCTTCAGAAAATGTAAGCAAAATACTGTGCTAATTTATTTAAAATTTCAGCTGTCAAATATATAAAATAAACACATCACCAAATGAGATTCTGAATATTCTCTATACTTTTTGATTATTTATTTATACAACCTCATAGGTGGATACATATTTATGTATGTAAATTTGTTTCCATCACAGAATGCATGAAGCGTATTTCCAAATGTCAGATGTTTTGTAAACACTCAGTCCATATGATAGCGATCAGCAGGGCATAAGATCAAACGCATTTATGTATTTTTCGTTACGAAAATATTCGCTTCACTGCAACTATGTATTTGGCATCTCAGCTTTTAAGTATTAATGAAAATACTTGTAAAATAAAATTATAAATTTAAATTTCAAGCACCGACAGTTGAAGCGAGACCGTGTGCATTCAATTGTAAATTTTGGATTTTGATAGAAGACACACAGATGAGTGCAGGTTAGGGTTGACACAACTGTGCTCATATTAGGCTCTCAGAAAAAAATCGATTAGTTGCTCTAAAATTTTTTTATGTAACAAAAGTAAATATAATTTTTGTAAATTTTAAAATCTCTTTTTGCAATTTGTAGAAATTGCGATCAAATAAAAAAAGAAACATTTTAAGTACAAAATTTTTTATTTAATTACAAAAATAATTTCGGCAAACATAAATCACAAACCATTACGCTAATGTTAAAAATAACACAAACTCTGAAAACATGCATAATTTTAAAAGCTATTCCCTAATGTACATATACTTGCACGCATAGAATACAAACATTTTGAAAATTTTTATATTATACATACATATGTATACCCCTAACTGAATAAATCCCTGTATATGTATCTAGCTAATGGAGTCCGCGCCTATGTATGTGGAGACATTTTTTGTCTATTTCAGATCCAATACACTTAAAACAAACATTATGAAAATTAAATAAATAAATTCCCCATAAAAAATAGAAGTAAAAAAACGCCAATAATTTTGAAATATTTTTCGGAATCTTGCGGATCCATAACAAAAACAACCACAACAAATGCAACAAAAAGAAAATCATAAATTGTTGCTGATGAGTGCCGCCGAATCTTGTACGCCTGCCATCGAAAAGAGAACGCAACAATGGCGACAAGAACAACAATTAACTGAAGCAAAAATATAAAATATCTGTACATAAATATAAAATCCAGCGTAGGCAGGGCTGCAAGCGGACGGAAACGTATGTGCCAACGTCAAGCAGAGTCGCATTGCCCACCACTATCGGCTGATTTCAAAATAGCATCGCTTTCACCGTGCGTGCGTTCACGCCCCGCTACATTTGCTGCCCCCCTGCCCACGCTTACCGTCTTCGCAATGACATAGCACGTCCGCTGGTTAGTATGCGGTGGCAGTTGTACGAGGCGACTCATAACGTGATAATCGGTCGGCCGGCCGAACCGCAAAAAACCCGAAACTTTCGGAAAATAATTGAAAGCAAAATATTTTATTGAAACGAATTTTTAAGTAGGTGTTGATAATTCTAAAGTGTTAAGTTTTAGAGTACTTACAATAATTAAATAGAGTGCATAACAAAAATAACCAAAAACAAAGCCGAAGCTATTGTATGAAAAGTTGTTCGGAATTACATGCAAACATATCTTCTAAATCGACAAAAGTGTTTAAAAATAATTTTAATTTGTAAATTGGTGACTGAAAGATGCATCGAAATTTCTCTGTGCAATATGAGAAGAATGTTTTACGAATAAAAGTGTCGTATATGTATTTGCTTTACAGTTAAAAAAATTCGAACACAAACATAAACAAACGGACTTCTATAAAGTTATAGAAAAATCATGACACAATTAAAATTTAAAAAAGTGAAGTGAAAAGTATATTAACAAACATAGTTTTATTAAACTGAATATATAAAATAAATTTGTTACGAGTTTTATAATTCGAACAAAAGTCTAAAAACTAAAAAAAGAAACCATTGCAAACCCATAATAAATTTTGTTTAGAAACAAATTTTAATAAGTTGAATTTTTGCGATCAAAACATTTTCGTAAATTTTTTTGAACTGTCATATTTTTTTAATTTTTAAATATTTAACCAAATTTTATTTTTTTATTTTATTTTATTACACATTACAAATTATTATAAAAATAAATTCCATGATTTTTTCAATTTCAAGATTTTCAACCAGTTCTAAACTTGATTTCGTTGGTATTGATGTTTTCTTTATTTGATAAATTGTTGCATAATTTTGTATTGAATATATTTGTTTTCTGAATTTTAAAATGTTTGACAAAATTTTATTTTTGTTAACTATTTTCTATTACATAACTCTAAATTTAACAAAATTTGATGTAGGACACATATAAATTAATAGGTATTTAGATTTTTACTATTTTCAAAAACTTAATGACCAAAGTAAATTTTAATTATATATAAACAAATTGCATAACTTTTCTCAATTTAAAGATTTCTAACCAGACCTAAGCTTGATTTCGTTAGTATTGGTGTTATTTTTTTTTAGATTGTTACATAGTTTTGTATTGATTCTATAGGTATATGTACTTAACAAAATTTAATATTTTGCCAAATTTTTAAAAGTTTTAAATTTTTTTTTTTACTATTTTCTGTTGAATAATATTTAACAAAATTTAAAAGAGAACAGTTTTACACACATAAATACATATGTATGTATTTCGCTTTTTACTATTTTCAAAACCTGAGAGACCAAAATAAATTTTTTTTATTATTTTAAAAATAAATTGTGACTTTTTTTCGTAAATTCTTTTTATCGTTTTAACAACAATAAATACAAACATTTCTTCCACATAGTTTTACCTCAAATAAAAAAAAGTTGTGTGTATAACTTTTACATCGCATAAGATTTTAAATTGACATAACCATAATAAATATAATAAAACTGTTCGCAACAAACAACAACAATATTCTGACAACAAACAAAAAAATATTAGTTATAAAGCATAGCTGTGAACTAATTAAGAAATCCATTTAATCGCAATTTAAATTAATCCAACATTTTTCTCCGTTTACACATTCAAGGACTTAAGCTTTTCCCGAAGTGACACATATTTTACGCGCTTTGGTTGGTGGCATACAAACATAGTTATTTAGTCGGAAACAGCAAAAATGCAAGTTTTCGATAATACCATGGTGAGTAGTTATTTTTAGTTTATATTTTTCATAATTATTTTACAGGAACTGCAACGACTCTTACCTTAATTAAAAACCACAATTTAATCGCTAAATTTGGATTTCTATTTTATTACAACGCTTTTATCAACTTGCAATGTTGTGTTCCAGAAACTTTCAATGTTGTGTTCCAGAAACTTTCAATGTTGTGTGTCCGACACCATAAAGCAAAGCTTTGAAAAGCTCCTATAAAAAAGCATAGTGAATAGGGCGAGGTAGATGACATCTAGATGTCGCCCTATGTACTACGTTTGCTACACC